TTGAATAAGGAAATTGTGTATAAGTCGGTTTTGTAGTTCTTGACAGATGTGCCGTAGGAATCATGTTATTGATTCAGCAAATTGATCAGGAATTAAGTGTCTGACACGAATTCTGCAGAAACAGGTTAAGATACGAGATTTATGACAAACAGGTTTTGAATTCGAATTGTTTAGGTAGCAGGCTGTAAAGACTTGGGACAAAATAGTTGATAAAAATACCCCACAACAAACAAAATATGTCCTCAAGTGATGATTAAGAATATACAAGTTACTTAATCTTGGAGAAGGAAACTACACATAGTAGATGGCTGATTCTCTAATCGAATGTAAGATCAACTGGTAGCATCATTCATTAACGATCTAACACGTGGTCTTAAAATCTTAGAATTACACGTTTGTACGATTCAGAGACCTCAATATAAGTAAAGACTAAGAAGCTAAGAAACGCATGGCAATTGCCACTAAGGATGCGCCTCTTAAAGAACAATTTAATCATATGTTTAAGCTAAAACGGTCTGCTTTCTAATGATGGCAATTTATCTTCTAGACCATCTATTGAGAACTTTAAATTGTTTTCTTACTGTAGAAATGTATGTTGAATTCAGATGTGTACACGTGTGTCAGTTAAGGGTACTCTGTGTTTCCTCTGGTATTCTTCACTCAACATCAAAACAAATCGATGTCAATTTGAAATTCATTATTAAAATATTCTATATTTAGAAGCAAACCTCGTGATAAAATTGTGGGAACAATTTATTGAAACACCTACGATTAAAAGCAAAATATGTGCTCTAGACAACTGGTGTTTGATTATCAACATAGACAATACCCCATTCCAGGTACGAGAAAACCCATGACCTTCAGTTATGTTGATTTGTTTGTCGTTCCTGACGAGGAAAACACCCCTAACACCCGAACGGTGGGAAAGCATGGGGGGTTGCTTACAACATCGTCACATTCGTCGCAGAGCCGCTCACGCCCCGAAGTTACATTCATCAAAGTCGGGACCTACTATGTTCACACATCTCTGACATCAGAAACCATTTATTCAAAATCTTACCAGCTTTATGAAACGTCGAAAAAAACATTCGATTCAGTAACACGTACTATCTTAAAATATTTGTCATATAATGATGTAATAATTGACATCTGAAAATGGTTTTAGTTCATTTTAGAAAAAGAAAAAATCAGACATAAGTAAGAAAAAGTTCAAAAACTATATTGAATTAATTTGAGATAAAGCTAACAAAACTTGTGTAACTTGTCGAGGGACCGCAGACATGACCTTCGTGACCTCACTCCGTGACTTGCTTCCGAGAAAGGTGGAGATGAAAGACTGATCTGCCGGCCCTCCATTCCGGACTACTGGCACACGTCCTACTCGGAGGTATGACAGATCCCTACAATAGACTAGATCCTAATTGTGGTATTTCTGCAGCCAGGAGCGCCATCTTTCCGGATCACCAACCAGTCAGACTTAATCGGATCAGGAGAAGAATGTGTAGAGACCCCCATCATATTATATCGCTTGTAGCATTGCAAAGATGTGTAGAGATCTCTGTATCACTAACAAGTAGCATGGTATATAAAATATATTTTTGATATTTTCTTCATTATATCGTATTCATGTTTATGTCATCTCGTATTCAAATGTTTGAAAATACAGTGCGTGCTATCAGGACGGAAGATAGCAGCAATATACTGATAACCTTCGATTTCTTCAACATATGATTAGGATTATTATTATTCATTTAACGTATATGTATTATGTCACTTAAAAAAGCGAAGAGACATCCACATAAGAGGCGGCAGAATGGTAGGCCACTAAGGCTATCAGTGACAAGGCGACCGGATTATTATTAGAAAAGATAGACGATTAGATATCTGGTTGCAGAATAGTGAGACAATCAGATTATTTGCTGAAGAAAAAATGGACCATTAGATTACTAGTTACAGATTAGTAGAAAAATGAGATATTTGGTTGTATAATAGTGGGTCAATTCAATTATTTGTTGCAGAAAAATGATCAAGCAGATTACTGGTTGCAGAATAATGGAAAAATTAGATTATTGTATCAGAAAAGTAGGCCATCAGATTATTGGATTTAGACTAATGCAACAATCAGAGTATTGGTTGCAGAATAGTGGGGAAGCAAATTAATAGTGACTTTAAAACGACTACTGGAGGAGTGGCTTATCCTAAATGCTGAACCTGTCATACTGGTATTGCACACTATGTTGTTATCCACAGTAGGGTAAAACGCTGATAAAATATCAAAAACAAATTGTTCTGTCGATGTCTTCTCTGACTACAATGAGCATTTGGATATGCGTTTCCTTCCTTCCTCCACCGTCCATTAGATGGTGTCCTCACTGATCAACAGTCTTCACGCGACTTTCACTACTACAAGAAACATAACAGAAATTATTGTCTTTGGTAACACCAGAAAATATAGAGTGGACCGTCAACAACGTCTCGGAGCTGATGTGATAATCTACCGAATGTTTTCCAATTGTGTGTGGTAAAACACAGTCCCTGTTTAATACTGTACTCTTATCATTGACAATTATAGAAATATTGTATTGATTGACAACAATTATATTAATTATGCGTCTTATTGTCTCTGAAATCGACCAATAATCTGGTAAGCTGTGATGTAATACTTATTGTTTGTGAAATAAAAGGTAACTTCTCGCTGTATTTTGTAGCAGCTAGCTTTTTAAATATTATTTCGTATGGAGTATTTTGAAATCTGTAAATCTATTCGAGAAAGGAGGATTTGTGAATCAGAAACACTCAAAAATGAATTAACGATCACAGAATTTGTCCTTTGACCTTTTAGATATTGCCTGCAACTCGTATGTAGAAATACATTGCAGAGAACTATGAAATGAAAAAGTAGAGATCTTCCAGTCTGACTACAGTAAGTTATAGATGATAAGTCCGATACCTTCGCGTGTTACTTTGTAAGTAAACACATAAGCCCGTATACAGGTAACGTACAGGCACACATTGCCCTGTCGTCTGGCCTTCGGTGGAGAAGTTATTATCAGAGGGAGCTCTTCACGACAGCTATACAGGTAAACACTATGGCGGTCCGATCTGATAGTAAACTATCTGACTCAGATAGTCCTGTTTGTACAGTCTATAAGTTGGGTTGGAGTACCTACAATCAAAGTTACGGACTCTACAATACTAACTATAACCGCGTACTTTATACTCTCGCGAGGCATAGACTCTCCACAACATACAAGTATATCGATCATTGTAAAATTGGACAGGAAGTTTAGAAGGAAGTTAAGTGTTTTAAAGGGACTATAACTTCACTCGTTATTTTCGAATGTGCATGACACAGATGACAGTATGTATCTGTATCTATTTTTTTCAAAAGATTCAAAACATCTCGGCTGTTAATATGATCAAACAATAATCAAGTGCAAATATTGGACATATCAGTTTTCAGTTTTAATTCACAAAACCTTTTTATCTGCGTTTCTGAAGTGTTAACCCGCTTTTCGTTAAATATGTGACATTTCATGATGGTGTCTTGTCGACTGAAATCGATCGCGTACTTGAACACGTTCACACGTTCTCTTTGTTGTGTAATTGCAGAAACCAAAGACGGTGTCAACAATCCGTCTCTCATTAAAAAGAAATAATTTAAACGTAGTTCGTGTTTTTTCGATAGTGTATTGAATTAAATTTGTTGTTGTGTTTCATCTCATAAACAATTTATCTAATGTACATTGGACAAACGCCATTTTATCCTTATTTAAACGATAGAAATTATCTTCAAAATCATGTTCCGAAATCTTGAGTTTGTGCATTCCCGAAGTCTTTCTTTTCGTTTGACCCGTTCGTCCAATGTACAATTAATTATCTACTGAATATTTTCAAATTCATAACTCAAAGAAAATAGTTAAACTTCAACTTCGCAAATTTTATTGACAACAATATTTGATCTGTATGCATATATCAATATACATACCTTCGCAAAAATAGAAAAAAATATATATGATATTTACAAATATACAATTTCATTTGAGATCTTATCTCACTAATGAAGTAATACACATTTCGATCAAAAAATAATGTAATCAACACTTTTTATAAATATTAGTTACAAAACTGAATAGTTTTAGTCTTGGAAGCACTGTTTACGAACATAGTTGCATAACTTTCTTATAAAACTATCAAACAAAACATTGTTCAGGACGAATGAAAATATGTGATGGTATTATTAAACATGTACATGTTGATGAAAAAATTGCATAAACATTTGAAAAAGAAAACTTCAAACTGCTATTTACTTTTAAAAGTAAATTGAACACATTTTGTAAAATAGATATCAAAAAATCATCAATACAAGTCGATAAAATCGATCATTTCATTATTAGAACACAATGACGGCGGTATCGGTTTGTCTTTTCAGAACAATCGATTTGGCATTGAACATACTTACCGGCGATAAAAATTTGCATGATAAAATATATAAAAATATATTTAAAAAAGTAAGCACAATGAAGAAAAAACTGGCTTATACCATTTCGAGCACTAGCTTTGTATTCTGTGATAAAAGTCAGCATTTTCCTTACGTAAAATAATTCTGTCATAAAAATTTATATCAAACAGTGTAAATAAAGTCATAAATATCTGCATCAAGAACGAGTTCATAAATCGGCAACATTGTGTAACGGTGACTGCCATTTAACTTTGCGCGTGATTTGCGTGCTGCCTTGAAAAGGTAACTAGCGACTGGTCAGTGGATTCACAGCATTTGATGTCAAATGTCAAACAGAAGTCCCCTATCACGGAAGAATCACATTTGGGAGTTTTGTCTTTTTCTTCATAATAGCTTGAACACAATATGGTATATTGAGACATGACGACGTCATAATGGTCATCCCATTGGTCACTATTCGCCTAAGTGACCGGGGGTCGGTTCTCGCCTGGGCACGAGAGCAGCGCTGAGGTAACCTCCCCAGTACATCTATGTCTTGATTTGCTTTATCTGAAAAATACAAAGGTAATATTTTATTAAAATTTGAAAATATACGTAAATAACTATCATTCTGATTTGATATGAACTTACAAATTTTCAGTAATGCCATTTTTCACTGTTACTTAATTCTTTTTATTACGAATTGAAATTAATTAGCATTATTGTTATTAAGAATATTTGTGTATATATAAATATATCGCATGCTTTTGAACCTGAAAATACACCATATCAAATGTATGAATACAACCTAATACACATGACTTTGTACTCCTAACAATTCCTAAAATACACAACTCACAAATTTCTAATAAATAACTCTATCACACCATATCAAAGTTCACAAACGTCGCTTAAAGATAAATGTTTAAAATGTCTACATGAACTTTAATCTCGAGTATGAGCGGCGAACTACTTCAGCGGAAAAATATTCATTGATAAGTGGAAAGAAAATGGCGCTATTTTAGAAATACATAAAAGAAATTTACCTGGATGTTCACGTAAACCATGACCCGAGATCCGGTAATTCTTCTTCTTCCGAGCTGAAAGATTCAGATATGGCATCAGAGGAGAGACTTGGAGCCGGCGAATTTTGTGATGAACAACTTACTGTTGGACTTGGCACAAAGCTATGCATACCGTTATTGTTTTGTAAAGCAGCACAGAAACTGTTCAAGTTGTCACTGTCTTGTAAAGAGTTGGCACTCTGAGATAGTGCTGCACACAAACTGCTAAGGCTATTACTTTCTTGGAGACTTCCTGAGAAGGTACTGCTGCCAGTGGTACTGCTACAGTCACTATCCTGACCTTCCATGTCCATATCTGTGAAATTCTGTGGTGACACTGGTTCTGTCTCAGATGACAACATTTGTTGGAGATATCTGATATAATTTGACGCTGCTTTCAAAGTGTCCACTTTACTCATCTTCTTGTTTTTCTTGCCACTTGGTACATGTTCTCTCAATGTTTCGAATCCCATGTTTACCATTTTCACTCGATTCCGTTCCCGTTCGTTCCTTCTTGCTACAGCGGCTGGCTGTGGTCTCGGAAGAATATGATGCAGACCAGTGTTATCTGTTCTCCTCTTGCATCGCAAAGCTTCGGGTTCCCTTGTAGCAGAGGGATCAGGTTTTTTCCCTAACTGCCTAGTAGCCTGCACTTGTTGGGCTACTGTCGTTGCTCTGACAAGAATATAGGGCCCACTCATTTGAAATGCGTCCCCGGTGGAGCCAGAAAGTCCCTGTATAGGCACAAGGCTTATTGTAGTAGTCATAATGTTGTGAGTTCGCAAAAGATAGGTAAGTCACGTAATTGAATCACTCGCCACTTGGCTCGTGCCCCTCGCGTGGATTTGTCGCACTCAACTTGGCTCGTGCCCGTTCGCACAGTCTGCATCGATCGGGGGTTCTCGGAAATCTGTTTATTCTAGTCCCCACCTGTTAGGTAGGGTATTTAAATACCTCCCTATTCTTTGGCTCCTCCTACTCGCGAGGGTGACCGCGCCTACAGAACAATTACCTGAATGACTCCGTGATGTCAATCAATTCCTTGTCGGACTTGCGACACGTGGCTGATACAACGATGTCAGGTATGGCTAGATTTTAAATCGACACAAAAGATCAGAGCTCCGCCAAGCATAACCGAAGCGAGCAGACACAGCTACAGGTATTTTAAAGCTGAATTTCGGCTAATACCTAACCGCTATATATATTATAAGTAGTCTGGGTCGCCCTATCTCATCCCATGACGAATTACATTGCAATGATTTCTAAATAAGTATTTTTGTAAATATTTCTGCAATGCGGTTGTTGAAAAATCACACAATCTGACACACGACAGAACATTAGTTTTAGGAAAACAACATCCGCGCGCTGTGCAGTATTCACTATGTGTTTATAAAAAAAATATCCACCAGCAAGGGCATTGGATTTCTACTATAGTTGAACGTTGCTGGGAATAATAGTTTGTTAACTTTTACATCACATTTTACTTCAGTAAGTCTTCTCCAACTCAGAAGAGATTCTGTGGCATCCAGTAGAAAATCACTCATCATTTCGTCAGGTCTCAAAACGTGGTTAACACGCACTGCTATAGACTATTGTATGACGTCATTGAAACAATTGATATGACGTAACGTCAGCAACAGCGGGTCATACGCGGAATTTCGTAAAATTTGCTTAAAATCATTCGATCAACTCAAACAGTATTTAAAGCTAAAGGGAAGCAAACAAATTTTCAATTTCAGATTTCTTCTCTGGTATACATTTTTTTCTGCCGAAATTTCGAAAACAATAAATATAATGTTTTCCATAGTCATGATTTCTCATTTGATTCACAAGGAAAAATAAGATGTAACGTGTTTAATGTTAAGTTGACATAACGTCAGACAGCCCGACTTGTTTTTAATGTCTCATGCAACATGGGTGTACAAGAGACGGAGAACTACACCTGTTACATACAGCTAATAGATATTGGCATGTCACATGGCAGGTAAAACGTGTAGTTTATACACCATTTAAATGTGTGTGTTTTATATCTATGTGCACCTAAAGTCCCCCATAATCTTAAATGCTGAATAACAGTTGAATGTTAATATTAACCTGTTTTAAATTCGGACACGAATTTTATTCAAATTATGTTGAAATTTGTTACATTAAATTGTCAAGCTATGTTGCCGCTGACTCATCAAGGTTTTTTAATATAAGAAATGGCTAACGTGTATCTACGTCAACCTGAATTAGTAATGTAGAAATACACAGTGTCCAGTGTTCAAGAACCTCCGAATGTTCTGATAGGTTGACCCTGCCTCGTCCATCCTTCCTTCGTGTTTCAATGTTTCAAAGAACTGTTTTCGTCATTGATTCATGGATTCATTTAAGCTAATTTGTCATCGGGTCAATATCCCAATGAACCTACAAATGTTTCCATTTCCTCGCTCTTCTCACCAGTCCTTTCTCTTGACGTTCACTGTCAACAGCATCTGATTTTCATACCTTGAACCAATGTCCTTTTGTCCTTTTGTCCATTTCATGTGCACTAATCAACCCCACCCCCCTTGGCCTTCTTTGCAAGATCCTTCCCTCATTTTTTTAAACAATCTCTTTCCATGAAATTAATATGTCCTCTTTTCTCTACTGAAAATTTGCTCTCGTCCCTCTTTTCCTTTTCCCCTCTTTCCCTCTTTGCTTTCTGTTTCTTTCCATTTCGTCCATGCATTATCGTCGAAACCATTACAAAACACTTGAACTTTAAATTCAACTTTTTACTTGTAACCCTCCTTGTTCCATCCTCCACCCCCTATCTCGGCCTCACTGTTCTTAAACACATTCCTTAGCTACACTCGGCGACAGGACGTGTGGCCCAATCAGTCTTGGATAACTGACAAACCAGGCCAAAGCAGGAACAGAACCACCTGCATCTGACTAATCAATATTACAAGTATAGCTGCAGGTATTTTTTAAATGTATCTATTTTCAAATGAATGAATGCAAGTTGACACAATCAAAACTAGATACAGTAGAAGTCACTATAGTGACGTGTACCTTCTCCATTCTAATGTACAACAGAGGTTTTCGAGTATAGATAGAGAGCAGTGAATGGGAGCATACCTGTACTATAATACCTGTAGCGACGCCGACATCAAAGGCGTTATGGAGGAACTCACCTGTTGAAGGAAAGCAATAAGACAGATGTGTTAAAATAAAACTTCTCACCAAAAGATATCGACGTTATTGAAATGAAGACATTACGGAGTAAAGAAACGAAATCCAATTTTTGGGAAAAGTGACGGCTATCACAGGAAGCCAGTGTTATATGAACTAGACATATACCATACCCCATCCGCTCAATATCATAACGTGTACAGTGAAATATACGTGTGACTGACAACTTGTTGAAACTGACACCGTGCAATATATATAAATTATTTCAAATGGGTTCCTATCACACATTATCGTTACCAACAGAAATTGAATTTTCGAAATTTAATAAAAAGCAGGAAATCCTGTTTTGGACGTTAAATGATTTGTGTGTATTTGCTAAACGAAATATTGCCACAAGATTTAATTTAAGAACATGAAGAAATACAATTATTCTGATGCCTTTTTTGATTAGTTGATTACGTCATCCTTTCATTATATATGACGTCACATGTAGATTTTTTTGTGACGTGTAATTATATACGACTTAAATAGGACTATTATTCAGAACCCATCTTGATAATTATTATATCGCCATGAATGTTGAAATATAGCCGTACAAAAGACATACTGTGCGTTGTAGTTCACTGAAAAGACTGTATAAAAAATGGCATCGTCAACGCAAACGGAAGAGACAACCTAGCGTCACCTAAATGTTTGCGACTTAAGATTAAATGAAGAATAAGCTTCAAATTACACTGATTATATCATTATGGTTTTGCAGTAGAAATGTAAAAACTTCTTGACGACACGTGTAAATATTAATCTAACAAGAACATATATTGTAGGACGGGATCTATACTATGTAGATATATTTAGATTTGGAACGAAACTGAAGAACTTTGCCAAAGAAGAACCGCTACTGTATATTTGAAGCAATAACCCTATGCTTAACCACGTCCCGTTCGGGCGTGTTACTAAATCATATTCAGTGATATAGATAAACCGTGAAATTTATACAAAAATCAGTTATCTTTATATCATTATTCATGCGAACACCTGACCTTTTTTAGTCTGACGGCAGACTGAAATATGACCTGATAGGAAATTATTATATAATGATCTGGTGTTGTACTACAAGCGGTACCGAGTTAGCCAAGTGAATCCCCTTTGCAAATTAGTTCTCGTGCATCTCACCGGAACCGCCTTTGATATGCACGGTTTGTTATTTCAGTAGTACAATTAAGTACATTTTAAAATTTGGATGAAAGATTTTGAAAGCTAGACGAAGTCATCCATAGGTTCAATAAATCTATCTTCATCTCAAAGAACGACATAAAATTGATATCAGCGACAAACGGATATTGCATTGTACATGTAGTCAATTAACCGCTCGCTAATCCGGATTTTTGGCGACACTTTGCAAAGCGTTTTTTTGTGATGCAGGATGCGATACACAGAACGAACTGGTACATGGCAAGCGCTTACAGGGTTAACTTACGACAAATCGTTTGAACTTTTGATTGACAATCCGTTAACTATCGTCTTTAATAGAAAACTAAATATCCGATAAAAATATATATGGAGGTGCGAGAGCTGAGATTGAGGACACTATACAAGATCTAGCTGATGGCATTTAAAGAAGACTAGCGTTCTTTTTGTACTTTTTCAATTGAATGTACTGACAAAGTGCGGAGCGGATTCTTTAAGATGAAGTGTAACCTTCTATAAGTTATAAACATCTACGCATTTCTTTCGGCGTCGATACCGGTATACACGTGTCTTGTATAAGGGAAAAAATCACTTTGATCTTAAATAAAGATTGTCGGTGTAAGGTATTTTTTTCTCCCCAGCCCGTGACATTCTTAACAGTTGTTAGTCAATCGCCCAGTTATATACATTTAAAACTGGTACGTCTCGTGTCTTCAGGCCCCGGGGCTAAATGTCTGGGTCATATCGGTAGATATTCTACAACAACGCTCCGTAACTGATTTCTCAGAGTAGGCTATCGAGCTTGGTCGGGGCGATTTTTCAATGTTTTAAATATATTTGAAATTAATGTAATTAATCATGAAGCAAAACATTTCAAAATATGTCATTGTATATGGATGTAAGATAATTTTAGATTAAAACGAGATCATTTTGAATATTACATACACATACTATAGTAACAATTTCCTTCTGATAAATTGTGAATAATGGTTTTCAGTCCATAACGGTGATAATGAACGTTAAAAAGTTGTCATTTTCCTGATCGTTGCGCCCTCCTAGATTGAATCGCAAAGCTTACAAAAATTCATCACGCTGTTTTGAAAATATTCCATATTTTGAATAATAAAGATTTATGAATTTGAAAAACAAGACTGAGAAAAAACTGTAAATTGACATATAGGGCGGAAGTTGATTTCTAAAACACGATCGTAAACGACGTTGTGTTAATGACAACACCAAGTTCAGAACTATTCAATATTTGATATTCGTATTAAAGAAGAGTACATGACAATCAAACAACACGATGACAAACAACACGATGACAATCAACACGATGACAAACAGCAAGATATCAATTAAACAAAACGATGACAATCAACACGATGACAATCAAACAACACGATGACAAACAACACGATGACAA